TTTGATTTGTGTGACTCATAAGGTAAATATCCATGTCCTTATATAGTGTACAGAAAAGCCTATTCAGTCTAGGAAACCGTCAGAGACGGGGATTGAACTTGGAACATGATTTAAAAAATTCAACTTAAAAGTAGAAAGTCACAACATTAAATTAGCTAAAGCTTATGACCTAAATAAATTTGATATAGGGCAGAAGAAAAGGGAAAGTAAATCACACATATCAGATCAAATCAAGGCAGACAACGAGAATAAAAAAAAGAATGGGCAAATTGGGCCATATCAAGAAATATAAAGGAATATGTCAAATTTAACCTTGGAAAGAATTCGAGAAGGTTAATTGAGAATCTTACAAGTATTATTGTAAATAATAGTGGACCACAACCAGAAAAAATATATGCATGTTGAAGATCAACCATAAGATTTTGAGGCTAATTAATTGAGAATCTTATGCTTTTGTTTTTTTAACAAACGGTATTGAGAGAGGGGGGAATCGAACCTAGGACCTCGGATACAATGGTACATACTCTTAACCACTTGATTGCTACAAGCCCCTTACTTTTTCTTCTTGTTTTTTTTTAAATAAGAATAAAAAAAGTTTCTTAAAGCCTATTCAAATTTACTATCAAAAAAAGAAAAGAAAATTCTTAAGTTTCACCAAAACCAAATATTTCCTTAACCTATTACGAAATCAATCAATTCAAGTTGTTCTTTTTATTTTTTGGGATATGAGAAAGACTTGTCTGGCCTAAGGAATGGGAGACCAAACTACGGAGATGGGTTGCCACTAAAGAAGTAGCCCTACAAACTTTCAACAATAATACCAGAGATATCAACAAAAAATCGATTACGAAATGACATGAAAGTGGAATAATATGATTCAAAATTTTGGAAATGATTTCAGTGCCTACAACATTACTACTTTTTTACCAATTATATTAGATTATAGTTTAGTAGTATTTTTCACTACATTACTACAAAATGACACGGTATTATTTTACTAATTTTTCACTAAAATATATAATATTGGTATCCGATTTTTCTGTGGTATGTTCTTGTACTCAGTATGAATACATAGAAATACTACACTCATTGAGTCATCATATCATAGTCATTGAATAGTATTTACACACAACCAAAAAATAAAATAAAAAATTAGTTGATAATATCAATAATGAATGAATAATGAATAATTTTAATTCTTTAAAGACTCAAAGAATGCAACTTAGATAATTTTATTTTGTATCTGCATTGCATGTTTATTTATTACTTTTTTTTTACTAGCTTCTGTCTTATGTATTAGATGTATTTTGAAGGGTATATGGTTCATTATGTCCTTAATTAGGTGTATCATTTTTTGTTATCAATTAAATTTACTCGTGCCGTCGAGTTTCTTTATAAGGTAAATTCAGCTCAGTCCATTTAAAAATCATGGATCCATCCCTGCCTCCACCTCCACGCCCACACCCTCCGCTGCCCTCTTACCCGACCTGTGGCAGCACTGCCCCCAAAATGACACCGTCCACAATGTCAGCCTGAGGATCCAGCCGTGCAGTCTGTCGAGATTGACTCCACCAAATCTGGTAAGGTTTTGCTCCAGTGGGTAATTCCACTATCTCCTGCAAACCAAAGTCTCATTTTACAAATTCTTCTCTGTTCAAGAAGTTCGGCAAATCTAATTTGAAAGCATACAGAATAACACCACAAAATAAACTTTACTAGGTCCATGTGGCTTCAAGATCCGCGACACCAAAACGAGTCACAGCCTCTTCAATCGACCCGAAGGGCGTGGAAGTATCAATCTCCTCCCTCAAACTCACCCTTCTTATCCCTGGCGGACTAAGTAACTTGGAAGCTCCGTGCCCATGACCCAAATCCATGCTATAAGTCCGACCGAGTCTCGGACCTCATTTCCTTGATGCCAGGTGTGCCCAGAACCGGTTCGGCGGCCATTGCGAAAACCCCGAAAATTGTTTGAGCAAGCAGAAGCCTTTGAAATGTGTTTGGGGTCTTTCCGAATTTCTCATTTCATCTATCTCCCAAAACTTAAATCAATTCACCAACCGAAACCCTCAAATCTCAATTTGTCATTGTTTAAGCAGCTGGACCATGACGATATATTGGCGGGTGATGGTGCTCTGGATTTGATGGACAAGGCCGTGGGGAGTTGGAGGAGGGGTGGGGAATGTATATGAATGGCACAGTGCTGGAAGACAATCAATGCAAGTGGTTGCAGAGAGTGCTTGGAAGAAGCAGGGGCTAGCCTCTTCAGTGCGCGGTGGGAATTTTATTTTATTTTATTTCAATTTTAAGATTTTTCTTTTTTTATGTCTTAATTATTTTTTTATATGAATGAATTTTTTAATAATTTGTTGACCGAATTGCCCCTCCACAACTAATAGAAGTTCAAAAAATTTGATAAAAATTGAGGATTGTCCTTAAATTGCTCCAAATTGAAATCACAGGGACAAAATTGATGAAATTGAAACGACATGGACCAAAAAGGTAAAAGTGACAAACTATAGGAACCAAAAGTGACTTTTTGCCAATTTTTTTTTAATTTTTATATAAGTGATAATCTACTTTAAACTAATCTAAACTACGGAAAGGGAGATTCAAACTTGGGTGCCCTAGCCAACTTGGCTAAGCCCATCTCTACTCATTTTGTTTTTTTATAAAAAGTAAGTTGGGCTTCTTTTGGGCTATTTTTTGTTGTGAGAAATTTGATTTGTGTTTATAACATTGCGATGGTAGTGTTGTAAAATGTAAGATATTCAATGGTTTTTTCTGTTATTATAGACTCATTGAAATGTTAGTTGTTTTTATAGAGTTTAAGTAGTGTATATTTTAGGCCCTATTTTTTTTTCCTCAAATTTGAAGCTCTTGAAAAAAAACTTTAAGGGGCCATGTGCCTCATTTCCTACCCACTAGTAAAAAAAAACTATTCCAACCCGGTTATAACTTCGCTTCCCTTTTAATCTTAGCCATCTATCTTTGTTACACTTTATATATATATATATATATCCTAACACCATCACAAGTACCAGGGAAACCAATCCAACCGGGGGATTATTTGACTAGCCCTCAGGGTACCAACATTTTACTTTGTGACTAGGGATACTAGGGGACTACTGTTGGTTTTAAAACATTTTTAAGAAGTTCATTTGAATATTAAACATGCATTTAATCAAATTAATCGCAGCGGAAGAATATGGTGGTTGTTTAAATTCAAAAACAAACTTCTTCCAAGTATCTTAAGCCATGAACATTGATATGTTTTTCATAAATGAAAATTCAAGAGAAAGGATAAGATCTAATTACCCTTGAAGCAATTATATGAACCAAGTTGTGTTTTGGTCTTCTCTTGATGATTTTCCTTTGTTGATCTCCTCTTGATCTTTCTCCTCCTTGTGAGCCACAAAAGTATATGGCCTCTAAGTCTCCACACCAATGAAACCTTGAGATGAGAAGAGGTATCTTGAGAATACAAGGATGCTAGTACAAGATTCTCAAGATTGGTTTCAATCTAAACCCCTTTGAAAGAAGATTGTGTTTCACTCTTGAAAAACTCACAACTATCTCTCTTTGATCTCCCAAACCTCTTTGGTTGATGTTGGATTGTGTTTGTGTGTCAAAATGAGCTTATGGAAACAATTCCCATACACATGCACTTAACCATTTTCGGCCAAACCCCAGAGAGGAAGGCTGGGTATTTAGGGTTTTCTGACAATTTTCAAAATTACCTTTACATTCTTTCGGTTTTCATACCTTTACGTGTTTGTTACAACTCTGAATTGAGCGTGTCGCCTGTCTACGAACTCATATCGGCGAGCCCTGTGCAAAAGTGACACTAAATTCCCCAAAATCCTTCAGGAATAAAAAGTGACTAAAGTGCCCCTACCCCAAGTGTAAAAAAAATAATTAAATTGGGTCGGGTTGTTACAGAAGGGCCACGAAAATTGAACCCAGGAGAATGATCTTCCACTTACAATCAGGGCAAGAAAGGAGAGGGAAAGGGGAGAGGGGAGAGGCAAGAGGGGGAGAAAGAGAGGAGAGGGGAGGAGAAATAGTGACCTCCTTTCCCCTCAAGCTAGGGTTGTAGTGTTGTTTGGGTAGAGGGAAGTTAGGGTTGGGGAGTGATAGCTCGCATTATTTTAAGTCTACAAGCAGAATTGTTTTTTAGTTTTAAATTTATACATACAATATTCTACTTTAATTTAATCTAAACTATAAGGAGGAGGTTCGAACTCGAGTACAAAGTGGGGAGTACATCCGCTCTAACCAACTTGGCTAAGCCTATGTCTGTCATGTAAGCGGGAATTTTAGCCATCATATTAACTCCAAATCGCAGAATAGTGAAGAGCAACCGCTGCATCGAAAAACAGAGAGCAAGACCAGCTTCAAATAGAAGGTGGAAAATGAAAAAGAAGAAAAAGACATGGGCTCAAGTTTCTACGATGCAGGTGGAAATGACAGGAGCAATTTGGGGCACTGTTATACTTTATATGGAGGCAAATTGTCACCATCAATGTTCATGAGAAACATGAATTTCTTTCTCTTTGGTAGAAGGAATCCATATAGCACAAAACATTGAACAATTCCATTGGGTTTTTTTATTCAGGGGTTCTTAGATATAGCACAACGAACATCTCCATTGGTTAAATACCACCTAAATTTTTTAAAATAATTATCTCCTTTAACGACTCTTTCTTTTTGGTACAACTTCCTAGTACCTAGTCTTTGTCATCATGATTATATATATATTCTCCTTTTCTTCCTCACCTGACCTCGTACATGGTTTATTCTTTGACATAAAAAATACAAAAAAGATTTTATCAATTTCCAAGTCTTGACCTGCTTCTAAATATTATATTCAAGTCTTTAATTACCTGCTTCCACAAGAAGAATTATATCTGTAAGAGGACAAGACTAGTTCATTCTCTCCAATCTATAAATAGACTTATATCCCATGAAGGATTTTCATCCCACACTGAAACCAACTCTCTAAGCCAACTACGATGAAAGGTGTTCATTTTCTCATAAGCACTCTTGCCATATTGGCATTTGCAACCTTCCTTGCCTCAGCCTCTGACCCCAGTCCTCTTCAGGACTTCTGTGTAGCAATCAATGACACCAAATCTCCTGGTATATACATTAATATGCACTATATGTTATATTTTACCCTACTATTATTTCCTCATTAATTATTTTGGTAAGGCTCTAAGAATATTATGAAGATTGTTTTTCTGTTAACTATATGCTTTTGCATGGCTTATCATGCATGGACAATAATCTATGTATTTATTTACTTATCTTTATAGATATTTGAATAATATTATTTGTACCACATTTACTGACCAACGTGATGAGCACCTCTCTAACAGATCAGATGGGTTCCACTTATGTGGATTTAACGTATGTTACAGAGGAGAAAGTATATGTGGTTCAAATAGCTCTAATACTAAAAGTTTAATTACTTTTTTTTTGGTACAACCAGTGATTCTGAATGGGATAGCGGTGTTTGTGAATGGGAAATTCTGAAAGGACCCTAAGCTTGCCAATGCGAACGATTTCTTCCTCTCCAGGTTTCAAATTCCAAGAAGCACACAAAATCCGGTTGGTTCAACGGTGACACCTGCGAGCGTGGACCAAATAGCCGGACTGAACACTCTCGGCATATCCCTAGCTCGCATAGACTTTGGACCAAATGGCCTAAACCCTCCTCATACTCACCCTCGTGGCACCGAAATCCTTGTAGTCTTGGAAGGTACACTCTATGTTGGTTTCGTTACATCCAACGGTGATGGCAATCACCTATTCACTAAAGTATTGAACAAGGGAGATGTGTTTGTGTTCCCAATTGGTCTCATTCACTTCCAACTCAATGTGGGACACGTCAACGCTGTAGCCCTTGCCGCCCTTAGCAGCCAGAACCCAGGCGTTATCACCATTGCAAATGCAGTTTTTGGCTCCAAGCCTCCCATCAATCCTGATGTTCTAGCCAAGGCCTTCCAAGTGGACAACAAGGTTGTTAACTATCTTCAGAAACAGTTCTGGTACAACAATAGTTAAGAGAGAAAAAAAAAACTTATATGTGAATAGCAGAAAAGGCCAAGGAAGGACCGATTGCTATGCCTTATTGGAAGTATTAAGTTGGCATTATGTTTTTCACTACCTAAAAATTATTATGATCGAATATTAATAGAATAAGATGGTCGTTTATGCAATCAAACATATTATTATAGTGTGTAGTTCTGTGTGTGCTCTCTCTATCATATACTTCTAGTTTGCACAATTCAAATTAAGTTGGTAGCTTTTTGAACCCAATGTCTTTCCATCTTTGATGCCCCAGACAGTCAACGACACTTTTTTTTTTTTTTTTGGGGTAAAGATGAACTTTCATTAATAAAGACCAAAGAGAGGTCAAACAACCGCCGAGACTACACAACCAGTCAAACGGCATTAACAAGAAAAAGAAACCAAAGCGACATGAAAAGGTAAAAGTAAAGAAAAGCTACAAGAGAAGGTAAAAATAAAAGAAGAAAACACAAAACAGCCAACGAACAACATCACATAGGGAGTGGAGGACAAGGCAGCCCACCACGAGAGAGAATGAAGATCAGGGAAGTTGGGGGTCGAATGACCCAAGCCTCAGCGCACAACCCCCGACGCATTAACGAAGCTATCCAATCCGTAGCTTGGTTGGCTTCCCTGGGGACCCAAGACCAACGGAGAAACGAAAAAGAAGCTCTAAAAAGCTGAATCTCACGAAGAATTGGGTACAACTGCCAGTTGGAGAGGGAGGGATCCTTTTGAACAACAGAATAACAGACCTTTGAGTCTAGTTCCACAATACATTGAGATAAGCCCCTCCCATAGGCAAGCTTAATCCCATCCAAAAGAGCTTGGCAGTCAGCAAGTTCAGCAGAATGAGCCTGAAAACAACGAGCAACTCCATCCACTAAAATCCCAGTAGAATTACGGATAATAACACCAGAAGAGGCCACACCAGTCACCTTGTCCCACGAACCGTCACAATTAATTTTTAGAATATTATCAGGAGGAGCAATCCACAGTGTAGACGGGGGTGGGTGGGTATGAGCCCCCCTAATACACAGAGAATCCGAACTTGGTAATGGGTGAACAAGAAAAAATTCAAATATGCACCGAATAGAAGCAGGACTGGGCAAACTCAAAACAGAACTATCATAGTGGAAGGAACACTGCGCTTTCCAAATGGACCAGCTAGTGAAGGCAAAAACAGTAAGGATCCAACATTTCGCCTCCTTACCAAAAGAACCACAATTTAGAACCCCAGCAAGCCACTCATCAAGCGTAGTAAACTCTTGAGGATTAGGCTTATAAGAGAGAGGGCATGCAAACCAGACTTACCTCGCCCAAGGGCAGAGAAACAAGAGATGTTCAATTGACTCTGGGAATTCATTACAAATGGTACAAATTGGGAACAGACGAAGCTTTCGCTTGAAACGACACTTTGATGCCCCAGATTGTATCAACTTAATTAAATTTTATTATCTTCCTATTAAAAAAAATTTATAATTTTTTTATTTTTATTTTTTGTTAAAAAAAAAAATGTTTTGGACAACTATTCGTGTGGTCAAGCAAAGTCAACAAATTCTGCAAGTGTTTTTTTGGTTGAATAATTCTACAAGTTCAATGCCAAGCGTAGTGATCTTCTAGATAAGTTGTAGTACGAATTTTTGTCATATATATATAGGATTTTCAGTCGTTTTACCTCGTGAAATATGACCCTTGTAAAAATTAAATCCCTGAATTAAAAAATCAGCCAATTTAGCCCTCAAATGAATTAAAATCACTAATTTAGTCATTGCCGTTAATTTTTTTGATTTTCATCTATTTTTCTGTCCCAAAAGTCACGTGCCATTCACGCGACTTAATATTTGATTATTATTATTATTATTATAATAAACTAAAATAGTTAGAAAACAGAAAATTAAAGAAAAAAAAGGTGACTTTCTCTCTCCCCGTCTCTTCCCCTCTCAACTCTAAGAGCACCTCCAGCGCTCTTCTTTTGCCTGGGCAGGAGGGGGCCTAGGCCTAGCAATTGGCTCCAGCGCGCAACAACAAGACCGGGCAGTTGGTGGGCTCCACAAGCCTGGGCAGGCCCAAAGGCAAATCTTGCCTGGGGTTGTTGACGTCACGAAAAAAAAAGAAGAAAAAATCGAAAAAAATACCAAAAATTTTAGAATTTTAAAAATAATAATAAATACCTAGTCATATTCTTCACTTCCCACACCAAAATTAATGGTTTAAGTATAAAAATTAGAAATAAAATTAAAGTGAATAGTGTTTGCCCTTACCCTTGCCCTTTGGGGTGGGACCAAAAAAAGCAAGGCTGTCACTATTCACATGAATAGTGTCAAACCTCGCCTTGCCCTTGCCCTTTTGGGTGGAGGTGCTCTAACACTCAACCCAAGTTCTTGAACAAAGTAGCTTTCTAGAGCTACCCGGTTGAAAGATAAAGAAGTAAATGCTCATGGGCTAATTCAATTCTTCCCAAGAAGATTATCCGCAACATAATTACCAATTACCCAACAACAGCAGTATCTCAGATCTACAACTATACCACCATAACCACCACCATCTCTTATTACCCAGCCCCACCTCCAGCCTCCTCCGTCCAAAACCCAGCCGCTTTAAACCCAGATTACCCAGCCCTCTAAAACTCATAATTTCAAGTGACGCACATATTTTCCGACAACTCTCTCTCCTTCGCCAAAGTTCCCAAATTTACAGACAAAGCTTCAATCTAGCTCCCTCTTAGAGACACATCTCCATTGCCATTGATTGTTCGAGCTTCTTCAACCAAACATCGACTCATCAATTTAGAGAGAGAGAAAAAGAGAGAGAGAGAGAGAGAGAGATTGGTGGGGCTGGTTTTTTAATTTTTATAAAAGTTATTCTTATTTTTTAAATTTTTTAAGTTTCTTTTCGTTTGATTTATTTATTATTTATTATACTCAAAATTACAAGTTTACCCTTATAGTTAATGAAAAATTGAATGAAATTCACAAAATTTAATGGCAATGGCTAAATTAGCCATTATAATTTAGTCAGGTGTTAAATTGGTTGACTTTTTAGTTCGGGGGGTTGGGGTCCTGATTCGGGGAGGTGTGTATGGCAATTTACTATATATATATAGCAGTGTAATACCTCAAAAAAAATTAAAAATGGACTTTCGTATTTCAGTGAAAAATAATATTGTGGTGAAGAATAATTATGAGTATTTTATCAAGTGATTTTGGAGTGAGACTATTGAATTAAGTGTGTTTAATTTCAAGTTGGACAAAATGCCCTTACATAACATTTGGTGAATTTTTCAAAGGAAAATTTAAGACATTGAAGTGAGATGATAGTAGTCCACTCAACGAACGTGTAGGAAATCGTTTCTGAATTTTGGGCCAAAATGACCAAAATACCCCTATATGTGAAAATTTCCAAAATACCCTTGTAGGCAAAAAATAAAAAAAAAGAGAAAAAGAAGAGAGAAATTTGCAATGTGTAAGCAAAACTATGCTCTTCCCTTCATTCTTCCCCCTTTCCCTTATACATTCCCTTCAAAATCTAATCTTGATCTCAAATTGGGGTGTGTTGTTCACTTATTAGAGATGAATTACCCAGTCTAGGCTAAGGGTATTAATTGCTTAAACTAAGATAAGATTGTAGGATGAAGGAGATGAAATTTGGGCGAGGAAGAGAAGAAAAAAATCTATAAGGTGACTCAATTTCGAATTTTTGGTTTTAACTTTGTGGTTGTGTGATTTTAGTCCCATAAAGAGTAATTTAAGTTACTTGAGTGTTAGGGAAATTGAATTGGAAGAGTTTGAACTTCCATTTTTGGGTTGGGTGGATAGAGCAATTTTTCAAGTGTGCCGTCTAGGATTTTGGTTCCATTTTGAATTTTTGATGAGTTCTAGTGATAGGTATGAAGTTTAGAAGAGTTTAGAAGCCTCAAGAACAACATATGGGGTGGGGGGGAGTGTGTGATAGAATGGTTGAAAACAACTTAGAACCAAATCTGGAAAATGTCATTTTCTAGAAATTTGCAGCCCGCAAGCCTCACTTTGACTCTTTTTTTCTCCCAATACTTTGAGTGTTTGAGGAAGCCATTTGTCGGGTTTTAAACTAGACATGACAAGGAACAAAACACAATTGGTTTCGTTGAATTTTGTTGAAGTTTGATACATCAAACATTTTTGCAAAGTTTGGAAAAAACAATCTGTTTTCTGCAGAAAACCAGCCACGAGTCAAACCTTGGAGCTAGTTTTCTCCTTCGGTTTAGCTCTGTTTGGAGTGTGGTTCGTTGGGTTAGAAACAAAAGGGAATAAGCTTTAAAATCACTGTAAGTTTGTCCAATTTTGTTAACTTTTGGTTGGTCAAAATGTCTCACAAAATCTGGGTTTTAGTCTGGAAAAAACATGGGAAGTTGCAGATTTTTAGGAAGATGGTGAACAGTAACCAGAAAACAAGCCCACTCGTGGTGGTGTGTTCTGGCAGCCTCCGACGCCTTATTTTAGTCCATCCGACTCAATTTTTCGATTCGAGTATGATGGTATAGGTTTCGAGTCGTTTTGAGGAGGGCACTCTCTATGTTGAGAGAAAAAGTATTTTTTTGAAAATTAGAATTTCTAACCTCATTTATGTTATATTTTTCAAATCTAGGAACATGAGTGAACTTGGCAACCTCTGAAGAGTAATTTCGTGATTTTAGCTAATTGGGACAAGAGGTAGGGCTTCTTGATTCCGAAATGATTAGACTATATCACTTTTAATCTTGGTGTTTATATATAGTATTATAAATATGAATAGTATTGTTGTTTTGTTGTTTTGCTTGGTGAATATTATTTGATGTTAGGTGAATACAATTGTAATTGTTTAATGAATATTATATGATGTTGGGTGAATAGTATTATTGATATTGCTCCGTGGATATTGTTTGACGTTGGATGAATATTATTATTCACGGGATTAAAGTTGAAATATTTTTGCTATTATTGGTATTATTATTCTGCATAGATAAATGATGTTTGCATTGTATTACATAT